TCGAGGTTGAGGGTAGCAGAGCAACAAATTATCCTTCAACAAGGGTTGCTCTAAGGGGTACTACAGTAGGAGCCAACGAGTTGGAAACCCAATAGCCTCAATCCTTGTGAGTGATGTATAAGGAATCCCAGCACTATTTGGCCTTGATTCGGTTTCCAACTTTATGGGGTTTGTTGTTTCAGGTTGCAATAGCGGGTATGCTAAAGGTCGCTATAGCGGGAGCTATAGTGGGTTACAGAATAGGCCACACGAGCGTCAGGATGTAGTCACCTGTATAAGGTTTTAGGATACCACTCAACAACCTTAGACCCTGAACTCCAAAAGCCCTAAACCCTATCATGGGATCCGTAGTGGTTACGCCCCAAACAGTGTGGTCACAGACCACGGGGTTCTTCCGTTCAGAGTAAAAGGGATTACGCGGACCCCGAGGTGAAATCTTGACAGACTCTAAACCGTTTATCCTAAATTACATTCCCTAAATCCCAATCCGTAGGCCCTAACACCTAAGATGCCCAGTAACCTAGGAATAAAAAGGGCTCCCTTTCTGGTATTGGGTAACTTAATAAGGAACCTAGGACTACAAAAAATGAATAAGGGTACTACTGGGCACCCTGGTCACTAAATCCTGAAGAACCCGTCCCAAGCTACCAGGCCCCTGTGCCTGTCGTCCTCCAAACCGCTCTCCACGCTCGACAGTGCGACGCCGGGACCTCATTGACAAGAAAAGTACGTTGATGATCCTGTCTCTGTATCTAGTTACATATGACATTATATAAGATACAAGGTTATCCAAAGTATAAACTTACTTGTACAACCTATTGATGTATATCTGTATATGATACTTACCTCTACCCTCAGCAAGAAACCTTTATCTTGAACATCGAGCCTGTTCCTGCTTGGCTGTGGCTTTAGACTGGCGCGCATCAAGCCGGCTCTTGTTCAAATTTAATGTAGGAACTAGGATTCCGTCTATGAGCCCTACTATTTTGGGGTTGTAGGACAGGGTTTCTTAATCAGGTTCCTACATTCTCATGCAGGATTTCGTTTCCCCAAGTGGGCTTGGAGCGGGGTGATTCCGAACGGTTGGTTCACAACTTCATAACGTAGACCTCGATCACGACCTGAACATGTGATGCACGCCTTTTCCGTGCTTGTCACAAGTTTTTCCCTGCAGTTATGTTCTGCTTCAACTAAACCAATAACGAATGCATCTAGCGCTTTGGCTAGGTGCTGTGGTTGTGGGCCTCTCGCGAGAACTTCCGGACATAGTGACAGGGATTTCGCGGGGTGACCGCTTCTCACAACCCTGCGGTTTATCGAGTTCAGTTTAGGGGTTCGGGGTTTAGCTAGGGTTTTAGGGCTTTATGAGAGTTTAAAGGTTTGGGGTGTAAGCCGTTTTGCCAAGCCCTGAGATTAAGCCTTTGGCCGGAAGGACACGACATCTCCCTCCCGTTCAATGTGCAAGGCTTCGTGCATCAGCTGTACGATTCTCCGGCCCTGGCCACCAAATTCCATGAGCCAAGTTCCGTATTCAGAGCCGGTCTTCCATTTCCCATGGTTCTTGGCAAGAATACGATCTACCAGAGCAATACCAGCATCGTTGGCAACCACCGCGTTCTGGCTTGCCGCAGCGGTGGCCAGGTACAAGAATGCCAGGTCGTCATCCTCGGTCTCTTGGCCAATGGCGAGTGAAGCCTCCATATTGATGATCAGGGATGATGCTGCAATCTCCTCTAGTTCATGGTCGGGATAGGATTAAAACTTTCTCAGCTTTTATTCCGTATTTGGGTTTAAGTACCCACAAAAATGTAAATCGTTACCCAACGATGACAACCTCTCCTTCAAAGATCGTAGCCTCTCTGGCTGCTTCAGGAGCTCGATTGCTGGCAGCAGTGCATCCAGCACTCCCCCAAGCACGGCGGCCGTCAGTAGCCAACGTCGCAGCTCGCCGGTCTCGTCCTCCTCTTCCAGCCCCTCGGAATTTGCCATCAGGTAGAAGACCCTTGGTTCTACTGCAGGCACTAGCTCCAAACCGATCTGGTGCAGGTCCGTGCCCAGCTCAGCCTTAAGTGTGCTGAGATCCGTTGCAGGCAGCGCCCGGTGCTCTTGCAGCAACTCGGCCACAGTCTTATAAGAGTGCCCGAGCTTCTCGAGCACGTCGAGCTGCCAGTCGTTGCAATCCGTATGTCCGAGGGAAATTTCAGCTTTCAAAAGGGCATGTGCCGCCTTGGCATTCTTGTCGTCTAGTAGGAGAGCGTTGGCAGCTTGCTCTACAGCTGCATGCGGCTTTGTCAATCGTGCGCAGCACAAAGAGGCGTTGGAGAACAGGGTTGAGTCGCTGTGGGCGCAGTGCCACTGGCCCAGACGGTAGACATCAAGGGCTTGGCCAAAGACTTGTGCTTGGAAGAGTTTTCGAGCTCTTACTTTGCATAAGCGCGCCACCCTCAGACTGAGGAGGTAGTCTCGAAGAGCACGACTTGTGAGAAGAATACCAGCCGAGAACGCGGTGGACTCTTGCGGCGGTATCGCAGGGTGTGGTGGCATGGGGTAGCCACCGCAGTGGACCTCGACCAAAGGCGGCTCCTGTGGCACCCTAGACTCTAGACCTCTGAGGCCCTAAACCCCTATAGGGGACTATACGACTATAATATGCAGGTGTAATCTAGGATACCCAGTAACCTAAGAATAAAAAGGCCTCTCTTTTTGGTATTGGGTAACTTTATAAGGAACCTAGGACTACAAAAAGGGAATAAGGGTACTACTGGGCATCCTAGTAATGGAAGACTCTTACAAATTATTCCGACCCCTGTGTTGAATCCCAACGGGGGCCGTCTCCTGTGGCTGCTCCTGCTTCGGCTCCGGCATTTCGGGAATCGGCACCGCAGTCAAGGCTTCAATGTACTTCCAATTCTCGCAAACTGCTCTCACGACCAGGACCCCAAACCTAGTTCATGGTTGGGATAGGATTAAAAATGTACAACTGTATTCCCTATTCGGTTTAAGTACCCACAAAAATGTAAAATGTTACCCAACTATGACAAAGAAACTCCGTAAGGTTGATCGAGCTGAAGAAGGCTTTCTGATTCGACGGGAGCTCGCGGTACAGCCCAGCCGCATGAGCGCGCCCTTCCTTCTCAGCCTTTGAAACTAAGCACATGCCCATGAATTCCTGGATCAAGCGGAGAAGTTTGGTCTTTGGCATGGGCAGCTGCAAGAAACGCTGGACAATCTCTGTCTTTGGCACATGGAGGGCCCCTTGCCTAGTGCATGGTTGGGGTAGGATTACAAATGTACATTTTTATGCCTTATTGAGTTCAAGCACCCATAAAAATGTACAATGTTACCCAACTATGACAAAGTTGCGTGGAAAGCTCCTCCAAAATCTGCTTGCTGGGTTTCTGCTGCGATGCGGCCAATCGCCAGAGCCCGACAATGGGTGCCTTCTGCACTGCCTCCGCAACGCCGGTGATGTCCAGCAGCCGAACCTCCTGCAAAACCGTCAAAACCCTAAACCCTGAAACCCTCAAAAGCCTGAAGCCCTACACCCTGAAACCCTAAAGCCCCCAAAACCTCTACTCCTGAGCAGATTGCCACAGCTTCGGATGGAGGAAGCTCGGTGGAAGGCGAGTTTCCTCGCTCAGCAAGCCATCAAACTTCCGCCGTAATAGTGAGGCGTCAACATCCTGCTCAAAGTTGAAGTTTTGCGGGTTTGGGGCTCAGTGCTTAAATGGGTTTTGTAATAAAAGTAACAGTACTGGTACTGGTCGCAGTAAGAAATGGCAGTAACCGTGTAGGGTTTAGGACGTTGAGGAATCAATATCCTGACGCAGCCCCGTGCTGCCCGCACGGCTGGCGGCGGCGCTTCGCCAGTCAAGGGCCCACCAAAGCTTCGACAGCACACCATGGGGAAAGCCTATGGCCATTGATGCTCGTGGATCCTAGCATAAGTCTTTAAGTTCGTCCCGACAAGTACAAATACTTAAAATACTGATACTAATCTTTGAAAGAAAGCAGGAGCTTAGTGTCGCGAGGTTCAGAAAGGCTGGAGACGAGGGCTTCAAGCAAGCCGAGCTGGAAGGAATGGCACCGAATCAAGTCTGCGAACCGTCTGTTGGGCGGGTTTAGGGCTTAGGGTTCAGGGTTATAGGACTTAAGGGCTTGGCAGAATATCAGGGACCCGTAACCTTGTCTGTTGGAATTTGGGTCATTTGTGCAGCAAGCTCCACCAGTCTTCGTGCCCAAAGCTGCAGCGTACACTTGCACAGGGAGCCAGTCACGATGGCGTGTTGATGCCCTAGTTTGGTGGCCGATGGTGAGCCGCGACTTTGCTTACAGTTGGATACCTTGCCGCAGTTGAATCTTTTTAAAGGTTTCAGGGTCCTAAACCCTAACCTAAACCCTAAACCCTAATTCTATGCAAATGCCATTGTCTCCGAATGCTAGGCTATCAGCAGTTCTATCACAGGAGAGGGCTAGTCCCTTGATTCCTGCGCAGGATCGTTCTGGAAAAAGGCAAACCGCAAGGCTGTACTTGATGTTTCACGGGTATTTATAAGTAGGGTTATAAGTAGGGTAACTATACTTATAACCCATATTAGGGGACATATTACAACCCTACTTATAGCTACCCATGAACCTCCAAGTACTGCATGATTCAGCATTCTCAAAAGTCACCTCCTTCGCCGAAACACCTGGGCTGAGCTTTTTGTCTTTTGGGGGTCTCACAGGCTGAACATCCCCAAACTCTTAATCCGACGGATCCTGAACTAAAAAACCCCAAACCCTAAAAGAAGGGACTGCCGTGCCGCCTCTCCACCCTTAACCCCAGACCCTGAACATCCCGAAACTAAGCCCAAACTGGGCTGTTGTGAAAGGATTTAGTTTAAGTTACCACAATGAAGAAAGCGTTCTATTTACGAAAGATTCCACTTATGGTAACTTACATTAAAGCCCTTAACAAGAAACCCTAAAGGCTAACCATAGGAAGCTTGGGTCGCAACGCAGCGTGGGATCGGCTACAAGTACCTGGCTATCGAGGGCTGCAGAAATTAGGCGGTTTAGGGTTTAGGGATTAGGGTTCAGGGAGGCTTGATGAGGGGGATAAGCTGTCAGAAGCTACTTCCTGACCTCCCTGGCTCTAAGAGGCTGAATACGGTTGAGGTTTACTGTAGGGTTTGCGGGGTTTAAGGGGGCTTCGGATTTAGGGCAAGGATCATGAAAACAGACCATACTGCCTGGTCTTGAGCTTGGATTTGCATACAATGCCCTTCTTTGTCGGCATGCATCCCCTTCCACGTGGGAACCCCCTAATTCTCCCAGCAAGGGCTCCTGAGAGATTTAGGGTTTAGGGTTTAAGGTTTAGGGTTTAGGTTCTCCAAATTTTATCCACAAATTCTATCCAGGCGTCCGGGCAAAAGACGCCTAGGCCAGGCCTGTCCTGAACCCCAAACACCGAATCCTGATCATTAGCAATACTATTCCTAGGTAGTTCGCCTATGTACCACAACACCCGATTCGAACTATGAAGACCCCAATATGCTACAGTAGAAGCCCAAAAGTTGGAAACCCAGCAGCCTCAGTCCTTAAGAGCAATCTATAGGGAACCCCAGCACTATTTGGCCTTCATCCGGTTTCCAACTTTATGGGTTTACTTTAGGAGCTGCCCCCACCCTGTAATAATAATAGTGGTGGTATAATAGGAATGTAATAGGGCCCTAATATAATCCTTTTAGTCACTATTACAGGGTGGGGGCAGCTTCTATCCAAGGGTAAAAGAAGGGACCCTTAATAAGGACCCCTAGGTATATACTCTTAATACAGCTATTATATACCCATTATATAGCCCATTATAGGCTAGGGGTCCCCATTAAGGGTCCCTCTTTTCCCGTTTGAATCTAAGGTTTAAACTGACCCTAAACCCTGCAGCGACCCAACGGCTTTGGGAGCACAAAACAGCCCGAAGCAATGACATCTCACCTATGCCCCTGGGCTAATGCTGGAGCCTCCAAGGCTCGTAACAATAGCAGCATCCATAACAACAATAGTAGAAATATAGTAGTATATGGCAGTCCAAATAAGTAGCTAATACTTGAAAAAACCATATTAATAATAATAGCAATACTAAAACAATACTAACACTAGTGACAACAAGCAGTTCTACTACGACTAGTAATACTAGTACTAATACTGAAGACAAGAACAACAATGAGTACTACGACTACTACTAGTAACAACAACGATCGTCATAATTACAAGTCTTACAGTCTAACAGTCATTGTCATTACCATAGGGCTCAAGGTCTGGGTTCGTCCGTCTCTGTCATCCCACATTACCACCCAGTCTGCGAGGGCTTCCCTTTAAGCTCTAAGGGGCCTGCTTGACAATGACTTTACAGCAATACTAGTAATGAGGGGGTCTAGAGTATGGTCTGGGCCAAGAGTAGGGTGGATTCCGAGGTTGAAGGGGGTAAATTACAGGCAGACATGAACCCTGAACCGTTGCGAATAATCTCGAAGAGTAGAGTGCAGGATAGCTCTACCATGGCAAGTCTTTGTACAGAAGAGTGCACGCTAAAGACACAGTCCCACTCCAGCAGAGTCACAGGTACATAACATGCATCAGGACCTGAAGCCAGTGCCCTAAACCCCTAAACCCTCAGTGCCAAGAGCCGTTTCTAGCAGTTTAAGGCCTGGAGCAGCTGGGTCCATGCTGTTGGGGAAATCTTCAGGAACTTAACTCAACGTACCATATTAGGGACCGATAGTAAATAATTAGTTTATGTATATATATATATATGGTTTCCTTATCATGGTAGCTTAAGTTAAACCCCTTATCAAGAACTCAGGATTCTACAACGTGCCTCGGTAGGCATATCATGGGCGTTGACCGCAAGGGGCAAACAGCGAGAGCGCAACTCCTGGGCAAAAGTGAAGCATATGGGAGTTTCCGCAAGTTGGGGGTACCTTATTCTGGGTCCGTATAATGCGGATCCCACAGATTAGGGTACTAGATTAGGGTTCCCTATTTTCGGAAACTCCCATGTCATCAACCCACCAAGAGATCCAGATTCCGCGGTATATGTTTGGGGTATTTCGGGTCTTGCTGTACTATGGAAACCCTATGCCCTAAGCTCTTTAATTCTAGTCTGTTCTATACTGAGGAAACGAAGGAAACCCCAAGCCCTTAACCCTTCAATCCTGATATGTTGGGGATCAGGAAGCCGGGGAGTGCTGGAGTCCAAACCCCCTCTGTGAGGACTAGACAATGACTCCACCTAGGATACCCAGTAACCTAAGAATAAAAAGGCCTCTTTTTTTGGTATTGGGTAACTTTAGAAGGAACCTAGGACTACAAAAAGGGAATAAGGGTACTACTGGGCATCCTAGCCACCAATTAATTACTCTGCTCTTCCTCAGAAGGCTGTCACATATCCTGACAAACAAAATCATAACCCCGCAAAAAAGAATCTGACAAAAAGTAACCAAGAGCCTGAAAAGAATCGTGAATCTCATGTGAGAACGTGAGAAATTCGTGGTTCACCAACATTTCAACTGCTTTTCTGAGTCCGCCTCGAGATGTCGGTTGTTTTGAACAATTTAGGGTCTTGTGGCTCCAGCTAAGGCCACGCTTTGCCTGCAGGGCTTCGTCAGAGGCCTCGGGTATGCTTCGCAAGCGAAGCTTCTCGAAGCCGGGCCTCCTTGTGAATTTTTTAGAGCTCCTTTTTCCCAGAGGCAGCTGTCGACTAGGTTTGAGGTTTAGGGCCTTCAACTCCCTAAACCCTAAGCTCCCCAAACTCCTAATTAAACTCTTAAAAACCACTAAATGCCCTAAACCCCCAAACAAGTTTAGGGTTTAGGGTGCCCTAAAAGTCGCAATGCAGCAAATCGACCATGAGATCCTGAGGCCCCCGAGGTTTCTGTCGCGACATGGAGCCCCCCCCGCCCACCTGCTGCCTGAGACCCTAAGATACCAAAATACACAAAGCATCGAAATCCTTCGACCCCGAATCCCAAATCCTGGAGACCGCTCCCCTCCACGTCCTAAACTTAGTTGCTGAATTCATAAGCCCCCCCCCCCGAATAGTGTATACTTTTAGGTTTATAGTGGGTAATATTATCCCAAAAAGTGTAAAGCATATCCACTCAGCTACTAAGTACATCCTAAACCCCAAATCCGACACTGCTGACCTCCAACCCCAAACCCTTCGAGACCCCAAACGCCCAAAAAGCCTTCAAAGCTGCATCGCGGCTACTTGCTTCCCCCGCAGTTAAAAGAAGGTTCCTGAAATCCCCACAAAAGCCTCACAGAACCCCCGCAGTTATATAAGAAGGTTCCTGAAATCCCCCACAAAAGCCTCAAAGAATTCTGAAACCCCAAAACCCGAGGCCGAGGATCCTCAATCCCAACCCCGAAAGCTCTAGGATCCAAAATCCCAGACTCCCCAAACCCTAAACCCCAAAACCCCTAAACCCTAAACCCTGAAATCCTAAACCCCAAACCCCAAAACCCCTAAACCCTAAACCCTGAAATCCTAAACCCAAAACCCCAAAACCCCTAAACCCTAAACCCTGAAATCCTAAACCCAAAACACCAAAACCCCTAAACCCTGAAATCCTAAACCCAAAACACCAAAACCCCTAAACCCTGAAATCCTAAACCCAAAACACCAAAACCCCTAAACCCTAAACCCTGAAATCCTAAACCCAAAACCCCAAACCCCCTAAACCCTAAACCCTGAAATCCTAAACCCAAAACACCAAAACCCCTAAACCCTAAACCCTGAAATTCTAAACCCTAAACCCTTGCTGCTCTTCTGGGAGCTGCGCCAGGGGAGCCGCTTTCGGAGGGACAAAGTCGCTGTGGCCCCGGTGGGTGATCCAGGGCCTTCGCCTCAAGCGCCAGAGAGCCAGAAGGTTTCTTTTCAGGATTTAGGGCCGTTTAGGGTTTTATAAGGTACCGGGTTTAGGGTTGTAGGTTTTAGGGTTTGAGGGTGATTCGGGTTTTAAGGTTTGAAGTGCTTTAGTTTGAAGTGTGAAGCCGGGTTTCCGGGTGCAGGGCCCCCTCTGTCAAGCGTGGCAAGGTTGTATAGCAGTGTCACAGCCCTAAGTGTTAAACATGGAAACCCTAAACCCCTAATCCCTAGACCACCGAATACCCTTTGATGAAGGGCCTCTTTGGGGGTTTCGGATTTTGGAGATTTTGGGCTTTGAGTTCTGGAGGTTTAGGGTTCGGGTTTCAGGGGGTTTAGGGTTTTTCATTTCAGGGCGTTGTTTTGCTCGGTTTGGCTTTCGAAGGGCTCTCTGCGGCTTTCTGACGGTGGGTTCAATAAATATTCAATACGAAAAACATTTGCAATCTCTCCCTAAACCCTAAACCCTAAAGCCTAAACCCTAAACCGTTCTGAGTCTTCGGGCTCATGCCCTGACCTAAACCCGAAACCTTGAACCTTTCACGATTAGAACTTGTGCAGCATGTCGGGGACTTTACGTTAAGGGTGTGATAAAGTTTCCCTAAACCCTAAACCCTAAGTTTTGGGGTTCAGGGTTTAGGGTTTTAGGGTTTAGGGTTTTGCAGTTTGCAGGGTTCGGGGTTTCAGGTTTCACACAGTCGAGGTTGCTGCTTCTTTGCATGGTCGGGGCTTAGGGTGAAAGTTGCCGCCAGCTCACGGGGTAGGTCTCATCCAGGATTTGAGCCCTACTAAGCCCTCAAAACCTAAATGAGGGCTTCAGTGCTCTAGAGGTTGCCCTGAAGGGGCCTTAGTCATTTAAATAGGGTGTGGGGAATAGTGTAGACTGACTGAATACTCTTGGTAATTTAATTGAGGCCCCTACAGTCTGGACCATAAGCCCCAAACCCCAAACCCCATGTTAGGGAGACTCTACTTCTCAGGCCCCTGGGAGAATCCAAAAAGTAGATACCTTTATTATTAGCTAACTGGGGTTCCTGTTGCAGGGTCCCATATTACGGGGATCTACTTATTAGATCCTCTCGGGTGTCTGGGTTAGGGTTCTGAGCTTCGAATTCTGAAGCACAAGAGATAGAGCGCTCAAGCCTGACTTTTCAGGCCCATAACGCCAAGGGTGCTTAGGGGCCGGGTTTGTTGTAGGGTCTCGTTGTTGGGAAAGTTTTACGGTCTTGGTTTTTTTGTCTTCAGGTCTCTAGGTGTTGCCTTGAGGCTTTAAGGATGTCGAGGTCTGGCGCTGTGAGAGTTTTCGGGGTACAGGATCTCTGGGTTTAGGGTTTAGGGCTTAGGGTGTAGGGTAACCTTAAACCCTAAACTGGCATCCAAATCGCAAACTATCCAAGCGCTAAGGCCTCAAACTCTCCAGCCGCCGATCCTAGCTTCGCAGCCTGATAGGGCCCGTAACGCAACCAAAGCGGCATCTTCAATACTTAACCCCTTGTGGTTGTAATACTACGAGTATGTTTTTCGGATCGTTGATATTGTTGTTAATGTTGGTATTGTTACTACTACGCGTATTATTCTCATTTCAAGTGTTGTTGATAGCGTTCTTCTTCCTATTCGTATGATATAAGAACAGACAAAAGGTTCTCGGAGAGCCCATCACCTCAAAAGACCTCAACCATCAAGCCTGTAAGCCTAGACCGTGAACCCTACTGCAACGTCCCCGCCCTCGCCGGCCCTCAACCCTGAACCCCCTAAAGAAACCCATAGAAGGACCCCTGAGAGAAGGAGCTCCTTTCAGGCACCACTACGGTAAAACCTAAACCCCAAACTTCCCGCAGGGCGCCAGATCTGCATCGTGGGCGCAGAAGTCCCAACCTAGAAGGATGAGCGGTGGTCGGGTTTTCTGGGCTCTAGCATTTTAAGTTACAGGGTGAAAGGTTCTCGGCAAGTCTTTGCGCTTTTGCGCTTTAGGAGCTTAGGGTTCAGGGGTTTAGGAGTTTAGCCTTAACGTGCCTTCCCTGGTCGAGCTATGCAAGATTCTGCTTGAGCTCAGGGCCCTACACCCCAAAACAGGGAGCTTACAGCTTAGGGTATTTGAGGGTTTCGGGGTGTCGTAGCAGCAGTAGTAGTAGTAGTAGAAGTAGGCGGCCCCCCCCTACCAACCACCCCCTTTTACATGCGTTGCTTGGGGTGGGGGGTGGGGGGGGGCTGATAACGTACAGGCAGCCTCGAACAGTTGCCAGCGAATATCCACAGGAACTGCTCCTAGTAGCCCAGATGCTCCAGGATGCTTTGTATGCTATGCTCATGATGCGATTGCATGGGTGGGGGGGGGGCTGATAACGTACAGGCAGCCTCGAACAGTTGCCAGCGAACACCCACAGGAACTGCTCCTAGTACAGAGGCTCCAGGATGCTTTGTATGCTATGCTCATGATGCGATTGCATGCGTGGGGGGGGGGGGGGGGGGGGGGGGGGGGGGGGGCTGATAACGTACAGGCAGCCTCGAAACAGTTGGCAGCGAATATCCACAGGAACTGTTCACAGTAGCCCAGATGCTCCACGATGGTCTAGTGTATGGCTATATTTACTTTGCGAAGATACTTTTACCTATTTCTGTTGTGACTGTGCATGCACACATTTCAACATGAATGCAGTGCAGAGCGGAGTGCAGCGCAGAGTAGGTAGGATGCCAGTCTCAATCTGCATGCCTCTCTGTTCTGTTCAAGTCGTGATGATGTTCGTTGTTGATGATGATGATGACGAAGATTTAACATACCAGATGAACTACTTTAAAGACCGAGTAAAACAAGCCTTCCCCCACCCAATTTCGAGTTTTCGCGACAACGTAGAAAAGTCTAGAGGTAGGCTTGGCAACTTTATAAGATGGCGGACATCCCGAAAGTACTGTAAATACCGAGTAAAATGGCTCTTGCGGAGATGTTGTTCGAGGTGTCCGCGTAACAATCTCGACTTCATTCTTCCCGCACACCCACGCACCCCCACAACAAAAAAATCCACAATCGGATGCTGGAGTTTGAAAACTCGCAGGTGAAATTTCTAGCTTCATAAGATGTTCCTACATGACGAAAGTGCTGTAAATACCGAGTAAAACGGATGTGGGTTACAAGAGTATGTAAAAGAGGTGGTTGGTAGGGGGGGGGGGGTGGCTAGTAGTAGTAGTAGTAGTAGTAGTAGTAGTAGTAGTAGTAGTAGTAGTAGTAGTAGTAGTAGTCTTAGTAGTAGTAGTAGTAGTAGTAGTAGTAGTAGTAGTCGTCGTAGTCGTAGTCGTAGTCGTAGTCGTAGTCGTAGTCGTAGTCGTAGTAGTAGTAGTAGTAGTAGTAGTAGTAGTAGTAGTAGTAGTAGTAGTAGGTAGTAGTAGTAGGTGGTAGTAGTAGGTAGTAGTAGTAGTAGTAGGTAGTAGTAGTAGTAGTAGTAGTAGTAGTAGTAGTAGTAGTAGTAGTAGTAGTAGTAGTAGTAGTAGTAGTTGTTGTTGTTGTTGTCGTAGTCGTAGTCGTAGTAGTAGTAGTAGTAGTAGTAGTAGTAGTAGTAGTAGTAGTAGTAGTAGTAGTCGTGGTGTAGTCGTAATCGCAGTAGTAGTAGGAGTAGTAGTAGATTTGAGGGTTTCGGGGTTTAGCTCTTGTGCGGATCTCCTGCCTCAAGACTTTCCAGTCAAATGAGCCCCGGGCGAAGACATAACGATCGATGGCGGAGAGCACGCCTTGAAGCAACTTAGTCTGGGTTCTCCAGTAGCCTTTGGGTGCGGCCCCCACTCAGTAATAGTTGAATAAGAATCATAGTATAGATGTATTAGGACCTTAATAGTAGCCCTATTGTCGACTCTTACTGTATGGGGGCAGTACCTAGAGTAGCCCCGTATAACAAAAAGGGTACCCTTTTCCCACTGTTTGGTTTCAAAAAGGGAACCCAAACGGAAAAGGGCTACATGTTACTACCAGGGAACCTAGGCTTAGTGTTGCTCCATGATTGGTTAGAAGTTGACTGCGGTTCCGAAAAGCCTCCATAAGAGTGGTTGTAGCGACTTCCTAAAGATACAGCAGTTCTCATACATCAAAAAGCCCTATCGCCCGAAGACAAGCAGTAGTACTAATCGTGCCGCTACGAACAAGCATGAGAATCTCCGTGTGCATACATGGATGCATAAATCTATACATGTGAATCATGTGCATGTACCCAGAGAGGCCTCCGACTACAGAATAATCATGTCGCCGCAGGAGCGATCAAGACATATCAAGACCAACGTGTCGTACGTAGCAGCAGTTGAACTTGTCAATGAGTTCTTCTGTCTTTCGCGTTGTGTAGCCAATGCCTCACAGCAAGGATGCAGCTGCAGATCTTCGGATCAGACGGATACAAGTCAGACTCGCAAAACTGTGGGGTTGAGGATGTAGCGTGCATGAGAATATGAAGAAACATGGAGCTGGTATTACAGCATACCATCAATGTGGTAGTGAATCTCCATAATAGTAAAACTCGCCGTAATGATGTACCCCTGAACCTGAAGCCTAAACCCAGAACATCCCAGAACCCCAGCACTGGGCGCAGCGCTGGCATTGACGTAGTCGTGTTCGATGGCCTGAGCTTCCAGGAGGGTTTAGGGTTTAGCTCAGGTGTGCTGTGTCACAAGTGCCCAAAAATGACCTGGCTGGAGGCTCGACCGGATGAAGCGAGTCGCAATGTCTTTCAATCTATCCGAGGGGAAATCACTTGGGGTCGGACCGATGCATCGTACTCCCATTCCGGGACGCTCCGGACTGTTTTCCGTTTGTCGTCCTTGCGCGGCCATCCGGATGGTCACACAGTCCCTGACTCAATGTGAAGCCGCAAGGTGAACAACTCGCACATTCATATGTCTCTTACAGCGCGGTATTGACACCACAGACCATGCTTTTCAACTTTTTCAACCGACCAAATGCGCCTTCGGGGCCTTCCGACAGACTAGGATGCAATTTAAGGTTTAACCCCAAATAGCACCTCTTGTAAAACTTGTAAAACCCAATGCTTTCAACGGACAGTCCCAGCTTCCCTCCCGACCGAAAGCCTCAAAACAGCTGCTGAATGTCCAAACAGCAAAACCTAAACCTTGAATCCTGCAACAGTCGCCCGGAATAAACACTAGACTAGACCCTGAGCCCTAAAACCTCCAAGTCCTTTAAACTACCCTTTTGATTCGTTCAAAAGCCTTTGCACAACCCTCACATGCCCTTCCCCTAAGCCCTAAACCCTGACAGAACCCCACGGCACTTCGGTCCATGGGTACTTCGATGCCCTCGCCTTGGAAAGTGCGGCTAGGAAGGCCCTGGGTCCCTCCTTGTGGGATTGAAGTACCTTTCACTTACCTTTGGTTAGTAGGGAATGGAAGAATCGTAGTAATAGTAGTCATAATTCTACCCCATTCCTCCATGCCGTACTAACCAAAGGTAAGTTTTAGGCTGTAGAGTTTAGGCTTTGGGGTTAGGGGTTTAGGCTATACCCTTGAGGCTGTACCTCTAGCCGAAAAGACGTACCTTTCTAGGATTCCATTTTACGGTTTCTATATATATATATATATACAGCTCCTTAAGAAGATAGACGAGCTCCTTAACAAGATAGGTCATTTGGGCCGCAGGTAGGGTTTAGGGCTTAGGCTTTCGGATGCTTCAGAGCTCGGGGCTTCAAGGTTTGAGGTTCGAGGCTTAGGGCTTCTGAGAACATCTGGGGACTATAAGGGGATGGTCTTATCGTGTAATCCGGCCTCTAACTTCTGATGAAGAACTCCCGCTCTGAGTACCACAACAGTATGATCTCTCCTAGAAGCAGCTTTGCGAAAACAGCTTTCATGGATGGCGGGTTTAGACAAAGCCTCTGACGAGACCCTAACAAGCATCAGGTTTGAAGCCGCGCGGGTTCCTACCGTGTGAGCGACAAGCATTGCCCGGCTGTGAAAATATCTATCTCTCTCTCTCTCTCTCTCTCTTATGCTGTCACAGTGTTAACAGCTTATGCTTTTAGGTCTGGGTGCCCCCTCCTGCATCCTAGCCCTAGAAACTCCACATTCCGGATCCATCGGCGTGGCCTTTTTTCATGTTTTCTCTCAATTGTCATGGCCGGAAGTAACTCTGCGTTCATCTTGCTGCAGCTAGTGCTACTCTCACCGGGTTGGGGATTGGGGCTAAGGGGATGGTAAGGAAGAGCTGTACCCAGGCTGGTCTTGATTTCAGAAAAGGTGGCCCGGTGATGAGACATGTTCAACTCCTAAACCCTAAACCTCAAACTCTCAAGGCTCTACGGGTCTTGAGTTTAGGAACTCCAGCGGCCCGGACCCCTAAACACGAGTACTGATTAGTATTAATTAGAACTACTTTTGTTGTATAAACCTATGAGCATGAGAACTCATACTATCTCAATTCGTAAGACTACCCCACACCGTAAACCCTAAACTCATATTATGTCAATTCATACGAATACCTCAACACCCAAAACCCAGACCCTCTCGGACCCCGAGCCAAGGTTGAAGGCCTTGACTACCTCAGCGCTCGCCAGGAATAAGGGTCCAGGGTTTAGAGTTTAGGGTCTAGGGTTTAGGGTCTTGGTAAGGGGTGTGTACATACACATCGCATGCATGCATGCATGCATACAGACGTACATATATAAATATGTACATTACATGTATGCCTCGCTCGTTGTCTACCTACCTCGGCCTCCTGCCTCCACCTGCTTGCCCGCTTGCCTACCTACCTACTTACCTGGCTATCGACCGGCCGACTTACCCACCTTCGTATCTGGTTATCGACCTCTGTACATGTGCTTACACACGATCTCTGAAGCTTGCACATATACATATATACTAGAACCCTTATAGATCCCTTTAAGAAACCCTGAATTAGTCCCTTTGAAAGTACCCCTGTTTGCCCTGAGTCCTTCAAGCTGCAACATGCACCCGAAACCCTGCAGTGCAAAGTCCATGAACCCACGAACTGAATCCTGAGGAGCCCCTGGCGGCTTAGGACTTAGCCCTTAATTTCAGGAATATATATATATATATATACACCTTAAATTATAGGGGCCTTAATTTTTGTGGTATAATGTATAATCCTTAGTTAAGGGATATTGGGATCTCTGGGTGCTGAGTTCATAAGGCCCCAAAAGTGTGCACTTTCAGTTTCATTATTCGTGGGTAATATTATCCCCAAAAGTGTAAAGTCTATCCACTCGGCTACGAGGAGGAGTTTAGGACTTACGTGTAGGGTGCAAAACTCATTACATTCCATTTCCACTCTGAGGTCGTAAACAAGCATCTTGGGGATTTTACCGGCTTTTTCTACAACATAAGAGGAAGCCCGGCTTCGCAGATCCAATAGTTTCAGGTGTGGGTGCTGACCACGAAAGCCTGAAGCCTGTAACCGGCAAAACCGATTTCCGACATGTTGAGCCTCTGCACCCAACCCCCCCCGGCCCCTGAACGCGAAATCCCTAGCTCAAACCCTAAACCCTAAACCGCTACGGTGGATGATATAAATCCTGCATTACCTTAAGGACCCTAAACTATGGGAATTATGGTAAATTCCTTCTTGTGGGTAATGCAGGATTTATATCACCAACCGCTAGGAACCTGTCTTTTCAGCCTCAGACATTGTCCATCAAGCACACCGCCAGGGTGTTGTCACCCTCCTGGACCATTGCCTCGGCAGTACTTTTTAGGTTTTAGGGTTTAGAGTTTAGAGTTTAGGCTTTAGGGTTTAGGTTTTAGGGTCTAGGGTTTAGGGCTTAGGGTTCAGGGTTTAGGTTTTAGGTTTTAGGGTCCCCAGCTTAGGATGTTTGGACCCAGGGTTTCGCGTTTAGGGCCCTCAAGTACCAGTTTACCAGTACTATAGGGGCCTTAATATTTACCTATACTCTTGTGGGGGTTCCTTCCGATGTATAGTTTCATATACCCAGAAAACCCTGTTCTAATTATTAAGGCCCCTATATTAGGGCCCCTCAAATACTGCTATGTTTGAGCTCCTTCTAGGGTTAAAGCTTCAGGGTTTAGGGCTTGGGGAGGGTTTAGGGTTTAGGGCTTAGGTTGAAAAGCTTGAGAACACATGGTGCCCTAGGTTTTGGTACAGTAGTATTTGGGGTGCAAGCTTCGGGGTTTAAGCGACCTTACACGATGCTTGGAATCGGCATGGGCAAAGTCCGACCGAAGTTGCGGAAAGTATTTCAATGAGGTCAAATGCTCGAGATGTGTAACTTACATGCATAGACCTAAGCAGTTCAGGGTTTAGGGTTTGGGCTCTAAGAGTTTAGTTTACGGTCCTGTCTTACCCGCGTGATGTGGTGCGTTTATCATGAGAACAAGGCTTCGGGGGTATAGCGTCGTATGAAATCTTGCGCCGTCATCGTCGTGTTGTCTTGTTTAGCTGTTAGCCTTCTTCATGAAACATATCAGCAACCACCATCATCAACTTGTATATGGGCGTGTAACCTGCGGTTTTCCATCAGCTCCGAGGTAAGGGCAATGTCTCTTCATGGCTTTTTCTGGGTGCCCCCGCGAAGTCCATACCACCCACTCCTGCAGGTCATTCAAGGTCAAGAGTCTCGGGCTAAGGCTTCATGGCAGAGACTTCTACATGAACCGCCCGCCCCTCGCACAAAAACATCGAGACGCCAATATCTAAAACCTAACCAATGTCTCCGTTGCAGTTCCTTGTTTGGGTTACCTTTTAGGAACCTGAACAGACTGCATGTAAACCTTGGGATTATTGAGGTCCTGGGTCTGCTTTCTGGCTTGCGGCATCGAGCGGCAGGCTCAAGATGCGAGGAAGGTCTAGTGACTCTTACTTGGAAAAGCATGGGACTTTGTAAGGCCATGCGGTCCCTATAAGGGATCTGTAGGGGTACTATAAGGATTTAGGGTTCGTAAGTATGGCTATCAGTAACAAAATTGCGATTATAAGTAGTGATATTATAGGTAAGTATACTTACCCCAATAGTATCCATAGATACTAAGTCCCAGGATCCTTGAGGTAGACAGGGCACCACTATAGGAGACCGATGCAATCTTTCTACATGGACCCATGTAGCTACGTGGTTTGAGGGACCTAAATGTGCAATAATGCTACATAAACCCTAAACACCGTATCTCCTCATAGAAACGGTAACCGAGCCTGTTCCGAAAGCCATCCTCGAGGAACCGCCGCGTGAAGCCGTGAGTTGGGATCCTGCATTCAGAGCTTCGGGGTTTGTGGGATAACGGTTTAGGTTTTTGAGGTTTAGTCCAGGGTTTAGGGTTTAGGGAATACTAGCCCGTTGGCTTCCTCATTATGCCTTTTTGGTTCCTTATTACGGTTATAGTCATAGTATACTATACCCCGAAATCTTGTTCTAATTACTCCGGCCGCTGTATGGTAGCACTCACCCTTTACCTTAGGGTTCAGGGGCCTCGGAGTTTCCGCACGTCTGGGGTTTAGGGTTGAATCAGGGTTTACAAAAAACCCAATAAGTAGGTAATCGGTTTTAGGATAGTAGTTATGTAGGTTACTATGTGGGAGAGTATATGATTGTAAGGTACTTGGACCCTTGGGTTTAGGGTTCTACGGCTGCAGGCTTGAGGTCGAACAGGGTTCTTGCGTGCTGGATGGGCACGATATTGGCTTTTTGAAGGCTCTGTGGGGTTGCATAAGTTTCTATACGGGTTCTATGCTTGCAGCTTGTATAAGGGCTCTATATATATATATATTATATATAATATATAATATATATATATTTATATATTATATATATATATATATATGTATATCTATAAATCGAAAACACATGCGTATATACACACACAGATATATATATATATATACATGTATAGAGGAGATGTTGTTGTTATATAACCATTCAGACTCCATACTGGGGTCCTAGACTGCTTGCATCACGGGTTTCCAAGGCTTCTACGGCGGTACTTTGGGCTTGGGACTTCGATCTCTAAGGCTTAGGGCTGGGGTCTATGTGTCGTAAACATGACAAACTATTGCCTGTGATAACCTTGGCCGGCTTTAAAAATTACAGCTTGCCTAGCAAGGGCCTTAGACTTCTGATATTTCTTGTGCGAAGACGCTCAGGCTTTTTAGTCTTATTGCAAACTGTTGGTTCTCTGTAGGCCAAAATTGGGTTTAGATCTGTAGCTGTTGAATCATCAATGACAAGAATAATCATCATAATCACCAAGTTCATAATGATAATGATAATGATACGGGTTTATTGTTCAGGCTGGGGGGTCTACAGCAGTCTCCAGAAACTCCAATACCAAACTCTGCGATATTGGAGTCTCTGGGTCTCGGGCTCATGGTTTAGGGCTTGAGGTGCACGATTGCGCTGGGGCTTGGCAGGTTTCACGTAGCCTCGAAGCCTATGGCAAAAACGAGGAAGCCTGGATTCAGGGTTTAAGGTTTAGGGTTTAGAGATGGCCCAGAGCGCGGAGAATGTAAAGCTTTAAATCAAACCAAGGGCGTGGGAGCACCCAATTGCAACTAAGTTTAAAGTCTGAAGAAACATCACACGATTTCATTGTCAGGCTGTACGGCCCGAGACTAAGCCCTGGGTAGTACTGTTGCTAGAAACTCAAGCCCCCGATACTAGCACCGGCGGAGCACCTTTCGATTTCGAGGACTTCATGGAAGACCGCATGGACGAGGCACCGCAGCTCTGGCGCAGTGAAGCCAAGGCTACGGTTCAGGGTTCAGGGTTTAGGCTCGGGATCCAAGAGTTTGTTTGGGGTGTCGAGGATTCGAAAGGACAAATGTAAGGGTGCAACGGGGCAATTGCGTAAACTCAAAAAGGTACTGGTGGCCGTGGTCATACTACCTACAGCATTATAGCCCTCGTTCGAGTATACATCCCCCGTTCTTGTATCTTCGGCCTCCACAGCGGTGCTTTCATGTAGGGCAGTTGTTCAAGTTGCGATTATTGGTCGTGTAATTGGGTTTTAGGAGCTTAGGGTTTAGGGTTTCGGGATAGCCAAAATCCGGGTATGTAACACTCCACATTACCACCTGTTCATTCAATCCACGGAGCAGTAGCAAGCTGGGGACATGCAGGGGCTAGGCCCCCCAGGTAGCCGCGCAATAATCAACGTAGCTTTTCGTCCTACTCTTTATGTCTATATGGCCACGCCAGAATCAAAGGGCGCTGGGGACATAGATGTGGTTAGGGAGGTAACCGTTCCAGCGGAGGAGCTGCGCGTGCTGGATTAACAGGTTTGGAATTTAGGCGGATCTTAACCCAGTGCCCTTTTTCAGAAACGGACGATGCGAAATTACATTTAGTGTTCAAGGTGCTTTTGATAGAAATCCTATCCTTCGGCCTTGAAGCCAATGCCCGATATCCTAAACCCCCCGAACTTCAAACCCAAAGCCCCTAAAGTATCCGAAAGTCCCAGAACCCAAACCCTCCAACCTTAAACCCCTCAACCCCCTAAGCCCCTAAACCCCGAAGCCCTAAACCCTATAAGACCCGAAACTTCAACCTAAAGGCCCGAACGCCGCCCCACTCCCCACGCACCGCCGCCAGGTCGTTCTGGTCTGCCACACCGCTTGGAAACTTTGTCAGCAGCGTGCCATACCTGCTCGCTGCACACTAAACACTATGACCTCAAAACCCTAAAGCCCGCACCAATGCACTAAACCCTGAAACTCCACAGACCTAAGCGCAAACCCTAAAACCTAAAACTCTGCAGACATTGCCATCAGGCTGACGTGCAACAGCAGATTCAAGCACCTCACCCTGCCGCAGGTCGAAGGAAGCAAGGGGCACAGCGCCAAAAGGCTGTTGCGCATTGGGAAGATCACAAAGAACGAAGGGAAGGAGCATGACCGAACGAACTGTTCGCGCTTTCCAAGCGCTTCGCAAGCTCGAGCTCGACGGTCCTAAATGCCAAAAACAAGCGACAAGCCATACCATGGGTAAAAGGCAGGAAAAGCAAAGCCCCCAAGCAGTGCAGGTGTTCGTTTTTGCAGTTGCTATTGCAGCAGACCTCGTGGTATGCTTGCAGCGTCGAGAAACCAGTGGGAGCCACTTGCATCGGAACGGCGCCGCAAGGGAGCGGGAACTGCAAAAAGAGATCCAAAACACCACCAAAGGTTTGCCACTGTCCGGGTCAAAGGATCCTGCAGGCCATTTGCCGTACGCACTGCGTGGATCCGCGCCACCACGTTCCACCCGCCCCCCGCAACATTGCATCACCCCCGACGTGCCACCTGCTCCATAGTTTTGTATGCACTGCATCTCGATTAAAAACCGCGTTGCGGAGAACTATCCTAGGTTGTCTTCCTGCTGACAGTTCGTCTATGGCAACGAACTCTAGCAACACTTTCGGTGACGATGCAAGAACTTCAACATGCTACCCCGTACCCGAATGAATTAAGCTGTGACTCTTGAAGTGGCCACATTCGGTAGGTCTTCAAGAGGCGGGTGCGCTCCGAAACACATTCGGCCATCTTTTGTTGCATGGCCTTGAGATTCTGCCCCGGCAACAGCAGCAAACCCTGCTTCACCTTCGCGGCTGCCTCCATCAAGACCACCTCTCCCTGGTCAGCGGCGGGATACATGCGTCACATGGCAACTCACCCTCTGCATGTCTGGTCTTCGATCCAATCTCTTCTTATCTTCGTCCTCTGTCACATCTTGCCTCGTCGATGCGGCGCTGCACGACAGTGAGCTTCTCGCCGATCGCGTCCATTTTCTGGAGGTCTCGGGTGTAGTTGGATTCAAGCAGCGTTCCGTGTGCGATGCGACTTTCAGCATGAGAGGCTCTAAGCTCCGGACAGTATACTCCTTCTGCCAGTGCGTCGGAGGTCTCGGATCGCGTGGCCAGCGTCCGATCCCTCCGACCGCCTTCGGCGCCTTCCCCTTCTTGATCTTGCTATGAGGGGGCACGGCCGCCCCCGCGGCCGACGACTTGCTTCGAAGTCGCCGAGCCGGGGGTTCTGGCCGCGCAGGCGCTGCTACCGTGGCGACAGACTCAGTGCCTGCTACTGCACGATCGAAGGCGTTCCAGTTGCCGCTGAGCCACTGCCTGGACCACCACATCCACTACCACAACTTTCTTCTCTCCATGCGGCGCAGGCAAGATTGCAGTGCCAGGACCTTAGGCGAAAGGCTTTCTTGGGAGCCGCAGGAGGTGGCGGGTTGATCCCCTTGGTGATTGGACTTTGAAAGCTGCCGCTTGCCTTTGCAACCCTCCTTTGCTTTCTGAGGCACAGCCGGCGGCGTCGGCAACGAGACTGAGACCTCAGCCACTGCTCCATGTGAACATGCACTGCGCGATGACGCAGGATCCCCTGGCCTTAAATGCCACATACTGTCGAAGCCGACGCCGCCCTGGTCGCCCATGGGCTCGAGACATGCAGACAAGGCTCGCGCTGAAGTGAGATGCATCTGCACACTATACTGACCGTAACCCTAGCCTGGATCTCGGTAGGAACCGCTGTGGCAGAAGCAGCAGAGGCCATGGCTGTGGGAGCACTCCAAGAAGGCAGGCTTCGCTGCTGTTGCTGTCGAAGGCTTCGATCCGCCGATCAATCCGTACACTTATCTTTCATGCTGACGCTGTGTCAAGCATGCGGTGCACCTAGTCCTCGCAAGCGCACACACTGGGCTTGCACGCTCCCTGTCTTTGTTTTGGAAGGACATTGGCTGGCATTAACTACTATCAGGTACACGGCAGGGCGCTTACGTCCACAGGGTCTCGGATGGAAGCTTCTCCATCGAGACCACTGTGCTGCGCCACCACTTCCACCCTGCTTTGAGGGGGTGGTCCCTGGTCAGCCCCAGCTCGAAGTTCAAGGGGCGCCCTCCAGGAACCTCCTCCTGCTGCCAAACCTGGCACTGGCTCACGTTCAGATCCGGGTCCTCCGCGTACTCGTCTGAAAGCCACTCTGCAGTCCTGGGCCATGCTCTCCGTCCTGCCTTCTCTCTCACTATCATGGTCCGTGCGCTTTTTTTTTGTTGCTAAGTGTGGAGCTAGCGATAAGGCAGCAGACTGAAGTGGTCCATCTCCTCTGGATGTTGCGTCCGGAGGAACGACTCCATGTATCAGGGCGGGCCTCCTTCCATCCATGGCTTCATCACACATGCCTGCACTCTCGTCGGAGCCTGCCTGCATGTGGTACTCGACGGCGGAGGTCTTCTCCTTCCGGTACAGTTCTCCGCTAACCCACCCCACCACCCTCCACTCCAATGCAGGCCGAGGCACCGGAAGTGTGCACCACAAACTTCGCTCGCAGCACCGTTTTAGGTTGCTGCTCCGAGCTGTGGAAGCTGTCCTGCAGATGTCTGTCGAGGAAACTTACTGGCTGCGCTACACACTACTCCCTAGCCAGCCAGCCTGCAAGAAGTTGAACAGGTTCATGGCCGTCTCACCGAGTTGCAGAGAGAAAGGACACCCGATCGAGGATAGCTTGGAGCCAAGAGAACGCTGCAGCCATCGTGCCTCGTGCCGGCTCCTGCTGCTGCCTAGTTCTGCTGGCCCTCGGTCGTCGGCCTTCCTTTTTTCAGGCTTCTTTGGCACTTGTCTAAAGTACAGGGTGAACGGCTCTTTGGCACGTTACCGGCTATGGTACTAATATGGTACATGACACGCAGCCCTGCTCCCTCTACTCCTCTGCCTCAGACTCCGACTCGAAGATCATGGGCTCGTCTCTTCCATGTTCCAGCCTGGTACGCTTGCAGGCTTTGACGGCTACTGCTCTGAAGTGATTCCTGGTCCTGAGTTCGGGACAGCTCCTCCAGACTGCGATTCTTCCAGTTCCTGTCAGCAGGGCTTCGCTTCTGCAAGTTAGGTTCGATTGCACTCCTAGACGTGAAAGAAACTGAGGAGACCACTGCACGCCTCTAAGATGTTCATCGCAACCGGCAAGAAGGGATTGGCTCTGTGTGCGACATTGGTACCGCGCTTCTCCTAATTATCCACATCGCAGACACTAGGAACGTGGTGGTGGCAGGTTGGGGTGGATGTAGCCGTAGTCCAACGCTTCTCGCAATTTCTGAGGGACCCATGCTGGGTACCCTGAGTGCGTGGATTGCGTCTGTGCTGCTCCTGGCTGGTCGTGGGTAGGATGCCCTTCCCCATCATGATTGCGAATCGTTCTGCAACTTTTTTTGTTCTGGGGGTGTGCCAAAAGCGGAGTCACCAGAAACAACTGCTCCACCCGATCATCCAATATGAAGATCTCGGCCAACAAATCCAGCGACGAGTTTGTGTCCACTACCGCAGATTCCGGCTGTTTGCGTTTACGGCTGCCCGCCCTCCCCGACCCCTTCCTCGACCACGCGTTGCGGCTTTGCTTGGCTTGTTTGGAACATCTTTGGGCTGGCTTGTTGACCTACCCGTGGACGGGCCTTGTGGATTCAGGCTCGAGAAATTCTTGGTAGAACCAATAGATCCCTCTGCCGCACTGAACCAAGCATAGTGTTCGGTCATGCCGCGCTGGCTGACGTCCTGATGGGACTCAACGGTTTCTTGCTGCTGCCGGTAGATGGCCGTGCATTGCGCATACAGCTTCCGATTGAACCGCTTTAGGGATTCAGGGTGTAAGGGTTTAGGGGCTTAGCGCTTTGGGGTTTAGGGCGTACGGTGAAGGGAGTTGCAGGATTAAGATTTTAGGTTTAGGGTTCTTAAGGTTTGGCCCTCTCAAACCAAAGATCAGCAGACGTAGTAACTTGGATGATAACTAACAGAAGGAACCATGACGCTATCTGCATAGACCCCGGTCCCTAAAGTAGGTAGGGCTGCAGGTAGCCTGTAGGATCTGGTTGCTCAGGGTTCCCGAAACCAGGACACCATAGCTCGATGGTAGAGTCTCGATTTTCGAATACGATCTCGGATTGAAGGGCTGCTGGGCGTACGACGTGCTTCAAGTTGCTACGAACATGGCAACGACGGCTACATATGCGCCATCTTACCTCACTCTCAAGCTCCTTTAAATGCATATGTAGAGGTAGTCGTGTGCATGAGCTTCAGAAATCCTGTCAAAGGATCTAGATAGGGCCCTAAACCCTGAACAGGCCCCACATCTCCTCGCGGGCGAAGGAGCCCTGTTTGGAGTTCCGCAAAAATCTGGAATCTGCCCAGATTCCATCCAAAACAATTAATCCTAAATCCTAAACAACCCTAAGCATCCCTAAACCCTAAACCCTAACCCCCAAAAGCCTAAACCCTAAACCCTACAAAATTATCTAGGGTTTAGGACCCTCATCCGTTTGAGGCTTCCGGCTCCCGAAACCCGCAAACACACAATCCGAAGCACCTGCTTAGCAACGCACAAGTAGTCTCAACATGTGTATGTGTCTGTATGAATATATGTATATATATATATATATATATACACATGCATATTTGTATACGATTACTTACAAAAGTCTATATTCGCCTATTCCCAGAATACCTACAAGTCTCGGCGGCGCACTTTGAGTCTGGGTTGTCGGAGAGCATCCTCGGTTCGGATGGAGGGGCAGGAATGAGAATAATGAGGCACCTGATTACGAAACCTTGGTCCGTTATTGGGGTTCCGCATATGAATCCTACTATTTTGGCGGCGATGTGGATCAATATGACGAGGGCGCGGGGAAGCCGGAGGAGAAGAAGTAGTAAGGCTCAAAGACGTTCTGGCGTTATTCCACTTGCCGTCGTGATGGTGCTATTGTGTTGCGGCCGTCGGAAGCCGGAGTGCTGCTGGAAACAAGTGGAAGTATAGCACTCAAAGGTAGTAGAAGTTGTAGTAGTAGCAGTCGTCGCAGGCGTCGATGCGGTTGTGGTTGCGGGTATGACTGCAGCTGCGGTTGCTGTGCCGCGGCGTTCCTTCTTCTTGTTCTTCCTCCTCTTCCTGTTCTCTCCTTGTTCTGAAAGTGGCAAGAAAGAGCACTGTGAAGGCCCTGAATCACGCAACCCCCCCGAAACCCTAAACCCCCTGATATAGGGACAGTAATAATTGGAGGTGAGTTTTGGGGCCCATCATACTATACTTATAACAAGGAAACACCACAATAGGAAAGGTAATTATTCAGGCCTCTGTATGAAACCTTAAACCTCCTAGACTCTCAACCCAGGCTTGCTGCCAACGCCACCTCAGGTCATACACATACAAGCCACCCCGGTCCTGGCGCATCGCGAACGAGCTGTGGGCCATATGGGGCCCAAAGCCCCTCAAATCAGGAATGCAAGCTGAATTAGGGTTTAGGGTTTAGGGTTTAAGATTTAAGGTTTAGGGTTTAGGGTTTAAGGTTTAGGGTTTAGGGTTTAAGGTTTAGGGTTTAGGGTTTAGGGGTCTTGGAGTCTCAGGGTAGCGTCAGTCCTATGTATTGGGAGCCCAGTCCAACCCGTGAAGATCTTATGGCCTAACCACTAAAACACTCCGCTCATCTCCCAATGTGCAGACGGAAACAGAACCCTAAACCCTAATCCCCTAAACCCTAAATCCTACTTGCGAAACGAACTCCCTCCCTTGGGACCGGTCGTCTTTTTGACTCCGCAACACAACTGCTCGTCGGACCAGGCTAGATCTCTGGGCCCCAAACTATACCTTCGAGGTCCAAGTTGCACATGTTAATATGGGTAGTTCTCTAAATTAGGGATCCTGATAGTCTACGGGATCTCGTTTCACATTGTCCAAGACCTGATCTGTGATGGCGGCCCAAGGCAATTTTGGCGACGTTATAGTTCCGCACACCGCCACTGCAGTCTTTTCGGAATGCAGCTCTTCCTCCACAATGTGCCCGAAGTCGTTCTCCATATAGAAGGACACACGAGCTGTACACAGACGGGTTGCTGCAGCAACCTCGATGTACCGTACTTTCAGAGAGTACAAGAACACAGGCGGATGTCGCGGTAGATTGTCGTTCCCCGATGCGGCCGGAACAGGTCGTTTCTTCGCGCGCACAATGCACGTCCTGCACAACGGTATTCTGCGTGCTGGACACCACTCTTTAAGAGCATGCTTCTCGTCGCGGGTGCTAACAAAGGTAATCTAATTTAGAGAACGACCGATATGGGAGTTTCCGAAAATCAGGGGTACCGTATTTTGGGGTCCTTATAATTTTAAGGATGTACTATGTTAGGGTCCCATGTTCTCGGAAACTCCCATATGGAAGCTTGGTACTTCCATGCTTAATCTTCCAGAAGGCTCTAGTCGATGAGTTTCCCTGCCTTGATCCCTGGCTTGCGAGTCTCACAGTTCCCGTACCGTTCCTTGAGCTCCAAGCCCCTAGAACCCTCAACCCGAACACCTTCAAACCCTACACTAAACCCTAAACCTTACCTTAACCCCAAATAACCTACCTTTTTCAGGACATGTAAAAGGAAAACATACTAGGGAACCCTAAAAAGGTATGTCTTTGGGGTCCAAGTTTACCTTACACCCTAAACTTGCAAAGCCTGGGACCCCGAAGCCCTGGAGCCCCACTTAAAGAAGCCTTTAAGGGAACCCTTCAAGGGAACCCCTAAACCCTAAACCCCTAAACCCTAAGCCCCTAAACCCTAAACCCCTAAACCCTAAACCCCTAAACCCTAAACCCCTAAACCCTAAACCCCAAACCCTAAACCCCTAAACCCTAAACCCCTAAACCCTGAACCCCTAAACCCTAAACCCCTAAACCCTAAACCCCAAACCCTAAACCCTAGGGTTTAGGGTTTCAGGGAACCCCGAAAGCCCGACAAACCTCGAAACTTCCCGGAGGGAGGGCTGGAGGATGCAGGGCCTTGGATCCCCGAAGCCGGAAACTGAAACCCGGCTTGGGTTAAGGGTTCAGGTTTAGGGTTTAGGGGTTTAGGTTTTTGTTTTAGGGTTTAGGGTTTAGGGCTTTAGGGTTTAGGGCTTTAGGTTTCAGGGTTCAGGGTTTTAGGGTAGATAGGGATCCTACTGTAACTTGAAGTTTATTCCTGAATTAAGGGATATTGGAGTCTCTGGGTTCTCAACTAACTCTGAAACCCTTGAAGCCCTGAAACCCCAGAACCACTAGGTGTCGGAGCAATTAGAATAGGCTTTTTAGGTGTTTATCAGAGCATAACCACAATAAAGAATGCGAAGGAATAGCATGGGTAAGTACTCAGAACTTGGTTGAGTC